GATTTCTGATTATAGATTTCTTTTAGGGTTTCTATTGATCATTTAGATGTTTTTTTGTTTGATCGATTTCTTCTACTTGCCATCTTGGTTCTGTTTATCGATTTCTTTGATTCTCACAGGTTCTAAGCAATCCAGAGAAATCAAGTTATAGCTTTTTTAATATATTCTTCTTCATACATTCTTCCGACATGCATGAAGGCAAGTTACTACTTTCTTAACATATTTTAGATATTTTCTGTTTGATCGATTTTGGTAGATGTTTTTTGTTTGGTCGATTTTGGTTTGGTTTATATATAAGTGACAAAAGTGACACTCTCTTTGTGCCCACATATGCTATTGTAAACTAACATAATAGGATTCATCTATATGTATGTAGGACAAGGTTAATTACGGTGATTCAATGTTCATGGACACACCAAGAGGCACAAGTCTTCAGTTTCCGTTTTCTATGTCTAACCGCATTATTATCAAGGTTTTTGTTAACTCCCGTTTAAAACGCTTGGATGTTTTTGCTTGCTTACTAAATTCAACAACATTGAACCACGGCAACAAGAGGACACTAGAGTGTTTTGTTGGTTGCGAGGTTTTCATCACAACTCAGTGCTTGAATGGATGGTCAGTCTTGTTTCTTTCTTAATTTGTCTATTTTCATCTCCAGTTCTAGTTTGTGGTCATTGATTCAGAAAATTTGTTACTTCTGGTATGTACTTGAATACATGTTTTTAAGAGTCATTGATTGTTGTTTAGCCTATTTGTGCAGAGCATTTGGAATTGAGAAAAGAGATTTTGACTCTTCTAACTCTTCAGAAATTGGTATTGTTTTATTTTATATTCATCTGTTCAATTAGTCTCTGTCTATCATCCTTTTGACTTACTAAATTAGTTTTTCTTACAAGCTGTAAGTGGATATCTTGTTTTTCTTACTATTCCATGGCAACACCATTTAAGATTATTACTCTTGGGCATGACCATCTTTTACAAGTTTATGTTGTTTATTTCTTTTTAAGTTGCAAAATAAGGAGGAAGGTTCATCTTATCGTGAAATTTCATATATTGAAACACCAGACATGCCAAAAGTCACTAAGCCTTTTTAAAAGTCGAATATGAAATATTTTTAATGCACATACATTATGTCTATATCATATGTTTCGATATGGTTTCTTTCGGGGTTACCTGATAATGTTTACAGCGTGGTATGGATCAGGACTGAACATTCATTCCTGACTCAGTAAGCTTTGGAGGTAATATACTTTGCTTGGATTTTTAGTTGTATTTTCATGTTTTTTTTTTTTGGTTCTGTTGTAATCCTGATTTCAAGGACTAAGAGTTAATATCTATTTACTTTTCAGCAATGTCAGCAGAAAGGGTTGGCAAAAGGAATCAGATACACAAGGTATGCAACATGATCAATTTACCTATGTAAATTATTTGTTGTTCTACTATTTCTAACAGTATATTGTTTGGGTTTAAAGGGACTTGGAAGAGAAGCTCCATCCTCACCAGCTCAGTCTAAAAGATCGCGAAAGTTGAAGGCTACAGACAGTTAACATGGCAGGTAAAAATAGACATCTAGACGAGTTGCTGTTTAAGAAAAAACTTAAGCACTCAATCTAAAAGCATGTATTTTGATTACTCTTGTAAAGCTATATGTAGGGATTTTGTAACTGAAGTGTTTTGACTATACTATTTATAACCAATAAGCTCGTTAGCATAATACTTACAGGATTCATTTTGACAGCTTATTGCAACTCAGTTACTGAAGTGATGATGCAAAAATATCTATAACGAGGAAGCAAGCAATGTTTATCTGGTTCATAATTGTGAAACAAGGAAAGGAGATTGCATTGTTAATGGCAAATAGGATATAGTGAAGACAAAAGGATGCATTGTTAAATGGCAAAAGGAGATTGCATCCAATTTGAGAAGTGAAGACATAGTTCTTGCTCGATCAAATTTGATTCTACATTTGAGTTCGGAGTTCGATTTTGATTTTGTTTCTAGTTCTTCAAATTATTCTTGGAACTCAACGTGTGATACATGATGAAGTCCATATCTAAGAGAAGCTAACTTTAAATATCCAAATTTTAAATTAGTTTTCATATTACGATTGAAGATTTTAGTGAACCGAAGACAAGTGTATTTTCTCTACTCTATTTCTACTACTTGTTGATGGTTGTAATCTGATGAAGTTGTGATCTACTTGACTCCTTTGCCACTGCAATTTTCTACATATTTCTAATTTCGGTAAGATGCGTGCACCTTGACTAATCCCAGGGGTCTAGAAAATAGCCGGGAAAATCCCCCGTGACCGTTGTTGGACTTGAACCAGTGAACTCTGAGGATGATCCCCATGGGTATAAAACTAGAAGTTAATAAATCAAACAAAACAATCAATACTTTGTATGAGAATTAAGATTGAATGACAAAACAAACTATCTAAAATCAAATTGAAAAATCGACAGAAGTTGACAAATCAATGAAACAATTCATATATTATTCGATGAACGTTGAGTTTGAAATTAAATTTTAGTACAACTTTGCAAAGGAATTATACGTGTATACTTATCCCTGCAGTTGTTTCCAACCTATAAATATTAATAGACGATCTCATATTGGTGTCAGTGTTTAAAAGTTTGGATAACTTATTGACTTCAGACGAGTTTTGTCGGTTAACATGCCAACTATAAAAGGTTTTTTTACAAAAAATATGTCTACATTCGTTCAAAATAACATATTAATATTCAAATTGAAAGGAAAAGAGTTTTTTATTTGGCTTGGTCTTGCTATAACAATCATGTGTTTATCTGTTGTAATCGCCAATAGGTATTCTCGCTTACATTTATATAAACTTATACCCTGCCGCATTGTATGGGTATACAACTAGTATTTTTCAAATTAAAAATCTCACCCCCCCTATTTTTATTCGAAAATATACAAAATTCGAATGGTATATTTTCGAATGAAATAAAATACATTAAAAAACAATTATATATTTTCGTCAATTTGACATCCATATTCATATACTTTAAATTTCATCTATTTTCTCATAATTTTCCGATTCTCTTTTTATTTAGTGTTATATATATATATATAAGGGAAGACGACATCGAAGTTGCCAATACAGGTCGCGACAACTGGCACGTTGATGAGAGTAATGACGAAGAAGAGGAGTTCCAATGCTCGGAGAGTGACTTTGAGGACAAAGAACTTGACTTGTCTGATCACTCATCAGATGATTAAATTCTCATGTAAATTTTATTTTTAGTAAACTTTGTCTAGTTGTTTTAAAGTTATATTATTTCCATTTTTAAATCTTAGTAAACCATTGTTCGACATCTGTTATTGTGTGGATTATTTACTGTATAATTGAATTATTGTTGTATGTTTTCTGACGTTGCTTTGTAGAAAAATCGATAATGCCGTGTACTCGGATTACCGATCGAGGTAGTGGCAGTACACCTAGCCGCGGTACGGGTAGAGCCTCTAGTAGTGCTTCGGCATAACCGGAGTAGATAGAGTCTGGACGTGGTAGTGCTGCTCCGAAGCCGCTTCACAACAGCGGAAGGTTATTAGCATCCGCGACACAGAGTAAATACTTTTATATCTTTTAATTGATACAAATAATTGTGTATTGATACTAATTCAATTCATTATTTATATAGTTTTAATGACACCAGAGTGATCCGGAGGATCACCAAGATCAACCGAGAGCTGCTTGACGACCCATGGATCAGTTGGGAAAAAATCCCAAAGGACATGAGACGCCGAACGTGGGAGCGGTTCCAGGTTCGTGATATATTTTAAAATTGTTATATTTTTGCTATTTTTTAAACCTAAGAAGCGACTAAACTTTTACGTACAGGGCTACTATACTTGGGATTCGACTTTGGATGCCTAGATCCTAGAGACATGGGAAAGAAAGTCGGCCAAGCCATATGATGACAACTTGAGTGCGGCGAGGAAAAAAGCTGGGGGAAAAGCAAAAAGGAATGGGTATCCTCAATACGATGAAACCGACCCACACCGGGATATGAGTGTGTTGAAGAACTTCCCCCCACAGTTGGATATCTTCAGATGTGTGGAGCCAGATGGTCGATTGTTGGAACAATGACAATTGGATGGCTGTTTCTGGTGTGGCGCGTGGGAAATGTGATAGCCAAGTTGCGGTATACACCGGTGGATCGATCCCATTTTCAGAGCATGGTGCTCGTTTGGTAGGACCTAAAACCCATTACTTTAGTAGATTGATTTTAAATATATATCATAATTAACATATGTTCGTATTATTTGACCTTTGTAAACACAAGCAAAAGAGGCGTGCCACCGACCGTTGTGGAATTGTTCGATTATACGCATAAGAAGAGGTCGAGTGGAGATGTCACATCTACGGATTCTGGGGGATACGTGACCTCTAAGTGTAGCCAAGTGATGGTAAGTATATCTATCTATTTTAATGTATATAATTGGATACCTAACTATCTATCTAGGTTGGGCAATCGTTTGGTACGTTTAAATTAAAATCTAGTTTGGGTTGCCATTTGGTGGGCAAACATTAGGATTGTATAAGTTAGAAAATTCGTATGTATCAATATTTAGTTTGGGTTGCCATTTGTTGGGCAAACGTTTGGATTGTTTTGGCTACAATTTTCGACACTATTGTTTTGACTTGTAATCTTTTTTAAACCATATATAGGATGACTATTCAACGGTTCTCACCCAAAGATATGGTGATTTTCCCTCCACCTATCCCTTAGTTGATAAAGAGTTGTGGGAGCAGGCAGTTGGGGTAAACAAGAAAGGCCGTCTATTGGGTTTGGGTACAACCAGGTTCCAAATTCGGTCTTGACTAGGAACTACACAGAAGGTGTTCATCGTCTTCAGAGGGTCGGGTATGTGCATATTTTTTCTTTGATAATGTTTATCGATTTAGTTTATAATTCATATTAAATATTATAATGTTTTATTTATTTTATAGAAAATTGAAACCTTAAGGACCCAACTTAGAGACTTATAGGAACAAAGTCAGCACCAACGGATGGCGGAGGAGGAGCGATGGCGCGTGGCGGAGGATCGACAGCGGGCGGAGGAGGAGCGACGACGAAAGAAGGAGGAGCAACGAGATAAACAACTTGAAGATATAGCTGTTTTGGTTAGACACCTCAGTCAATCTCAACATTTTCCCCCGCCACCGTATTGAATATTGTCTGTTTGTTTGAAACAATTTAGTTTTTGTTTTGTACCAATGTAGTTTTTGTTTGTAACAATTTAGTTTTTGGACCAATCTAGTTTTTGTTTGGTTAGGATAATTGTTGTTTATTTTAATGTATGACTAGTTGTATACCCGTGCAATGCGGTGGGATGTGAAATTTTGAAAAGATGTAGACGGGCATATCGATTACAAATAAAAATTTGTATTTTGTTCTATCAGGAAATATATTTGAAAAGATGTAAAAGGTTCTATCAGGATATATATTCAATTTTTAAATATAATTTTTTTTGCAAAATATCTTTGAAATAGTTGGTGGTTCACATCTGCATCAAAATCCGAAAATGAAAAATTAATGCAATTTCTCATTCAGAAAGTCTAAGATTTATGTTTAAACAAAATAGAAAATATAATCATGTTTTTATCATACACAATCATCATTCAAAACTTCTTGATATACCACATTTGATGTGTAGAGTCCTTCCTGGTTGAAATTTTTGGTAGGTTTCACTAATACCTTCGTATTTTCACGTGATATCCCTCTGGACAATGCCACGTAAAGTTGGGCGTGCAAGAATACCTCTTCCGGTAGAAAAACACCTACCACCGAAATTGTCTATCCTTGAGCTTTATTGATTGTCATGGCAAAACAAAGTCGAACGGGAAATTGTTTTCTCTTTAATTTAAAGGGAAACATATCATCTTCAGACGAACATAGAGGAATTCTTGGTAAAAATACCCTCTTACCAGCATGCTGACCAACAACTATTTCTACATCGATAGCATTCTGCTGAAAACCTCTACATATCAACCTCGTGTCGTTATACAATCCATTTTAGGGGTCGATATTCCGCAATAGTATTATCGTACATTCAATTTTAAGCCGGAGGTAATGAGGGGCAAACCGCTAACAGTCAGTGAGTTTAAGAATTACATCGGATATAAGTTATTCTTGTCATCTTCTGCCTCATCAAAACTATAGTAAATTTTTTCCTCTCCACAGAATCTTTCAACCAACTGATCATTAATCTCGTCGACATGTTCATTTTTAGTTGTTAGTATCGCCCTATAAATGATATAATCTGAAGCAGTCTCGCAAGTTTGAAGAGAAGGAAAGATTGCATCAATCAAAGCGTCCTTCAATTCATTTTTATTTGTGTAAGGAATGGCCATGTCATCAGGTATGTGAATAAAGTTTTCGTCTATTGATTCTTCATTTCCATCGCTGACACGTAACAGAAAATCCGAAAACCATGGATCAGTAAGTGCTCTCATATTGATCGTTAACCGCAACTTTTTAATCGAAGACCACATAGGTGACATCCGTAAGCTTGAGTTTACGATATGTGCTTGAGTGTCATGTCTCATTACTAGCAACACCTGTCTAAAATCACCTCCCATAATCATTATTTTTCCACCAAGTGGGAGTCTCACCCAGTGATGTCTTGCATTGTTCTATCGAGTGCCGCTATTTCCTGCCTTTTTGCCATTAATGCTTCATTCCAGATGATTATTTTTGCAACTCGAAGTAGTTCAGCAGTTGCACTTTGTATTTTTATATTGCACACCGAATTATTACTAAGAGTAAGGGGAATCTTGAATCGAGAGTGAGTTGTTCTCCCCATGGCATGTTATTAGCAAAGCTCTATACAAAAATGTTTTTCTAGTTCCACCCAGTCCATCACAAAAAACACACTTGGACAATCATTATCTACATGCCTCATGATCTCATCAAATGCATGTTTCTGGTTGGAATTTAGAGAGTTTCGGGCATGTAAGTCTTCGTTATGCACAATTATGGAGTACTCCTCTTGTACCTCATGAAATCCTCGTGATTCTAAATTAACAGCTACATTTAAACTTGGAAGATCAAAATCATCGAGGTTTTTACCCATAGATTGTAAAAAGACTACGATGTCTGCAAGAACCATATTTTGGACTCCCTCAACATTTTCGTAGTCTCGTCTATAATCTTCAGAGAGTGAATCATAATGTTCATCCCATAACTTGCGAACATCTCCCGGCTCACATTAAATCAAGATCGTCGTGAATAATCGTTTAAGAGCATTGGGAAACTGAAATAAGGTGGCATTGGCAAGACATTACGAGAAATTATCGTTGGTCTCTATTAGACCTCTCTCAAGAGCTTCTTTTCAAAATGTCGGATGTATTATGCCGTTAACCGTGTAAAGATCTTCAAAACACGTGGGCCCACTAATATGAGGCAGAACTAGGCATAGATAATATCATTCTCCTTTGGCAGGATTAGCATGAAACAGTCGTCCTCTCATTGATACTTGTTTTCGAGGATTCCATTTACGTGAACTGGCATTTCACGTGTAATGTTTCGGAAAATCTTTGTATAAATATTGTCTCACACTCATATTTGTTCTATTCCTCTCAAACAATGCGGTCAACATTGAGCTCTTATCCTTCTCTCTATCAACGATATCTGTCATTATATTATTCTCTCTGAACCTAACCAGCTGCTAATTCGGAAGATGGACCTGCAAAGCCATCACACAGGGGTGGATTTGAGAAAGTGAAAAGCTAAAAATCCTTCAAATTGCGTCAGGTGGCGAAACATATCGTGCATCTTGAAATCTCTTTATGTAGTTGATAATGACCTCTTCTCTATCAGGATCGACATGAATAACTTGTTTGTCATGACCCTTGTAAACATACTTGAACACATATTTCATAGACATTATACTTGAGCAAACCTCAACATTGATGTGACAGTTGAAAATCATTAGTAACTTTGGATTATATTGGACCACCCATCTATTATCAAGGATATTGTCACGGATGTTCACCTTTATTCCATTGTTTCTCCTTCGATACATCAAATATGAGTTATTTGTATGCACCGTCTTGTCGTTGAATTGTTGAGGATATCTAAAATGACATTTTCTTGACTCACCTTCCAAACAAGGGCTAAACGGTCGTAAATGGCCGCAAGGACCATGCATCATGTGCTTTATCACCAGTTCGTGCATTTCAGGATACTTTGTCGGGTTCGGGATTTCAGCAAAAACTATCTTGTCGTAATGGTCTGGGTTTTTAATCTTGTGTTCCGGTTTCATTATCATGAGGATATGTGCATGTGGCAAACCATGTTTTTGAAACTCGATGACATTAACATATGCCCTAACCTCGCTAAGGATGTGCTTCTTGAAGAGTTGATTTTTAGGATCCTCTAATTTGGCACAAAAAACTCTTGTAACAAGGTTCGGCTTATCTTGCATGGTTTGACAAGGCAATAACTCTTTAAGGATTTCAGGCCACTTTGGATTACACGTCATGGTAAGGAATATATCGGGCTTCCCGTCATCTTGAACTAAAGTTATAGCATCCATAAATCTTCTTCGCATATCACGTGGGCCTCCGATAAAACTTACAGGAAGCACAACCCGTTGTCCAATTCTACTTGGTTGAACCTCACCGGCATAGACACAATCCACAACACCTTGGTATAAGTCTGATATTTTCTTCGTTTGATTCCTTTCAATAAAAGACAAACGTGTAGTCTCTATCTTGATGTACATATCTACCACGAACTGTTGAAATAATCTTCCGCCTAATAAAATGATGTTATTACTCGATCGAATCTGGAACTTGTAACAATAATAATCTCGCATTGTTACAGTTTTCCTACCCTTTCCTGAGCTACCCCCTGCATATTATCGATTTTGAATAATATAAATTAATAAATGAGTGAATAAGGTAATAAATATATGTGACAATGTTCATACCTTCATGATCTTCGTCGAAGATTTTGTTGTCATTGACAATTTCATCGATGCACACTCCATGTCTGGGTATTCTAGCATGCCATCCAGACTCACCATTGGGAAAAAACAATGGATCATAGCAACCATAGTGATTTTCAATTTTTTTTACTGTAGTCAGACCTCCCATACACAACAATACTTCTCTTGTATGTAGTGATGTTGTCATTGCCTTCCACCCAAATACCAGCAACCTGTACAATGTTAGAATTTGCTTCAATACCATGTGATACATTTTATTGTAAATAAGATAAAATAAATACTTGTATTTCAACCTCAGATGTGGTCGGTCGGTTGTACACCCTCTGGTCAAGTTCCACAGAAGCATTCAAAGTGACTCTATAATTGTCGAGTGGTTCTAGGTCGGCAAGGCTTCAAAATGTTCTCATGTATGTGTTTATAGAAAGAACACGAGTCAACATTTCAATGACGTTTCTATCAAGATTTGGCCACTATAGTCTATGTGAAAGCTCAGATTCGGCATCATAAAAATAAAGTTGTAAGTACCAAGGTTGTCCATCCCTAGGAACTAACTGATCGATCCTATGATATATTCCCCCTTGAGCATGAAACGTATATACTCCAGATGTCATATTTCTCACTATACTATCCGAAGTTACCCCCATTAACGTGAAGGAATTGTTTGTGTTGTATGCATGAATATTGTGCCTAAACATTTCGCCTAACTCTGATTGCATTGTAAATAATTTATATAGTTCTTCTGGAATGGGTGAGTATGCCAACTTTGTCTTTCCACCTATGCAACAAAAGGAACGAAATTCAAATTCGAACCATTTTGCTCCACAATGTTCACATGCATTTTGTTCCTTCAACACACGATGTTGTTTAGGGACACCATCATAAACAAAATTGTGTGGATCCTCCTGTTGGATCTCAACATTTCTATCATTTTTCTTGTTTCGTTGATAATAGTTTCGGTTAGTGTTGGTCCCAAAAGGGTCTACAAGAATACTAAACAGTTTGTAGAAGGGGGGGGATGAATACAAACACAATTTTCAAATTTAAAATATATATTGATAAAGAAGATCAATACAGATTTTACAAGATTGTTTGCGGAAAGATAAGTT